TCCGACAATATGGCCTAAAGCTCAACACTTCAAAATGTGCTTTCGGGGTTAGTTTAGGCAAATTTTTGGGATATTTGATCACTCATTGCGGTATAGAGGTCAATCCTGATCAAGTACAGGTCATGCAAAGGATAAAGAAGCTGAACACTGTCAAGGACATACAAAAATTAACCAAAATGCTGGCAACTCTCAACCGATTTATTTCTAATTCCTCGGACAAGTACAAGTCATCCTTCACCATGCTTAAGGGGGCAAAAAAAGGATCCTCGGGTGAAAAATGTGATCAGGCTCTAGAGGGAATCAAGGAGTACTAAAGGTCTCCTCCGACCCTATCGCTTTTGACGGCGGGTGAGGTCCTACACCTCTACCTGTCTGTCTCAGAGTGGGCTGTCAGTGGTGCCCTGATAAAAGCGTTCAACGAGGTGCAGAGACCGGTCTATTATGTAAGTAAGACCATGCTTGATGCTGAGACTAGGTACTTGCCAATGGAAAAGCTTATACTAGCTTTGGTCGTCTCGGCTAAGAAACTTTGGCACTACTTCCAAGCGCATCCCATAGAGGTCTTGACCGATCGGCCCCTGGAACCCATACTTTACAAAGCAAATATGTCTGGGAGAGTGTCCAAGTGGGCCGTGGAGCTATGGGAGTTCGAGATAATTTACAAGCCCGTACTTCTATCAAAGGGCATATCCTTGCTGATTTCATCACCAAATTTTTTGCATTGGAGTCTCCACCTGAATGGGAGTTGATAACTTTGGGCCACGAAGACGTTTAGAGTTTGCATGTGGATGGCTCCTAGAACGCAAGGGGACAGGAGTTGGTATAGTCTTGGCCAATTTTGAAGGATTTATAGTGGAACAAGCTATTAGCTTGGATTCAAAGCATCCAATAATGAGGCCAAGTATGAGGTACTATTGATTGGGCTCGATATCGCATTCCTTGGGTGAAGAATGCGATCGGGCTCTAAAGGGAATCAAGGAGCACTAAAGGTCTCCTTCGACCCTATCGATTCTGACGGCGGGTGGGGTCCTACACATCTACCTGTGTGTCTCAGAGTGGGCTGTCAGTGGTGCCCTGATAAAAGCGTTCAACGTGGTGCAGAGACCAGTCTATTATGTAAGCATGACCATGCTTGATGATGAGACTAGGTACTTGCCGATGGAAAAGCTTATACTAGCTTTGGTCGTCTCGTCTAAGAAACTTTGGTCCTACTTCTAGGCGTATCCCATAGAGGTCTTGACCGATTGGCCCCTGAAGCCCATACTTTACAAAGCAAATATGTCTGGGAGAGTGTCAAAGTGGGACGTGGAGCTAAGGGAGTTTGGGATAATTACAAGCCCTGTACTTCTATCAAAGGGCAGATCCTTGCTAATTTCATCACCGAATATTTTGCGTCCAAGTCTCCACCCAAATGGGAGTTGATAACTTTGGGCCATGACGACGTTTAGAGTTTGCATGTAGATGGTTCCTAGAACGTAAAGGGGCAGGTGTGGGTGTAGTCTTGGCCAATTTTGAAGGATTTATAGTGGAACGAGCTATTAACTTGGATTCAAAGCATCCAATAATGAGGCCAAGTATAAGGTACTATTGATTGGGCTCAATATTGCATTCCTCGGGTGAAGAATGCGATCGGGCTCTAGAGGGAATCAAGGAGTACTAAAGGTCTCCTCTGACCCTATCGATTCTTACAGCGGGTGATGTCCTACACCTCTACCTGTTTGCCTCAGAGTGGGCTGTCAGTGGTGCCCTGATAAGAGCGTTCAATGGGGTGCAGAGACCGGCCTATTATGTAAGCATGACCATGCTTGATGCTGAGACTAGGTACTTGCTGATGGAAAAGCTTATACTAGCTTTGGTCGTCTCGGCTAAGAAACTTTGGCACTACTTCCAGGCGCATCCCATAGAGGTCTTGACCGATCGGCCCCTGAAGCCCATACTTTACAAAGTAAATATGTCTGGGAGAGTGTCCAAGTGGGCCGTGGAGCTAGGGGAGTTAGAGATAATTTACAAGCCCCGTACTTCTATCAAAGGGAAGATCCTTGCTGATTTCATCACCGAATATTTTGCGTCCAAGTCTCCACCCAAATGGGAGTTGATAACTTTGGGCCACGACGACGTTTAGAGTTTGCATGTGGATGGCTCCTAGAACGCAAGAGGGGCAGGTGTGGGTGTAGTCTTGGCCAATTGTGAAGGATTTATAGTGGAACGAGCTACTAGCTTGGATTCAAAGCTTCTAATAATGAGGCCAAGTATGAGGCACTGTTGATTAGGCTCGATATCGCAGTCCTCGGGTGAAGAATGCGATCGGGCTCTAGAGGGAATCAAGGAGTACTAAAGGTCTCCTCCGACCCTATCGATTCTAATGGCAGGTGATGTCCTACACTCTACCTATTTGTCTCAGAGTGGGCTGTCAGTGGTGCCCTGATAAGAGCATTCAACGGGGTGTAGAGACCGGTCTATTATGTAAGCATGACCATGCTTGATGTTGAGACTAGGTACTTGCCAATGGAAAAGCTTATACTAGCTTTGGTCGTCTCGACTAAGAAAATTTGGCACTACTTCCAGGAGCATCCCGTAGAGGTCTTGACCGATCGGCCCCTGAAGCCCATACTTTACAAAGCAAATATGTTTAGGAGAGTGTCCAAGTGGGTCCTGGAGCTAGGGGAGTTCGAGATAATTTACAAGCCCCGTACTTCTATCAAAGGGCAGATCCTTGCTGATTTCATCATCGAATATTTTGCGTCCGAGTCTCCACCCGAATGGGAGTTGATAACTTTGGGCCATGACGACGTGTAGAGTTTGCATGTGGATGGCTCTTAGAACGCAAGGGGGCAGGTGTGGGTGTAGTCTTGGCCAATTCTGAAGGATTTACAGTGGAACGAGCTATTAGCTTGGATTCAAAGCATCCAATAATGACGCCAAGTATAAGACACTATTGATTGGGCTATATATCGTATACTCGATCGGTGTGAAGCGCCTCTAGATCTTCTATGATTCACAGTTGATGGTAAATCAAGTTAACAAGGACTTTGAGGTCCAGGATGATAGGATGAAAGCTTATCACCGCAGAGCAAAGTAAAAAATAGAGAGGTTCCAAAAGATAGAGGTGTCCCAAATTTCTAGAGATCACAACAACCATGCCGATGCGTTAGCTTGCCCAGCTTCGACCTTGGCTTCAGAAGTAACTCAGTGCATCATCATCGACTAGCTCGAAAGTTCGAGCATAAAGGACTGAAAATGCTGAGGAGGTCTTGTCAATGAGCACTCAGAGTATGTCGCTAAGCTACAAGAACCCCATAATTGAGTACTTAATGAACGGAACACTCCCCGGAGATCCCAAAGAAACAAGGAAGGTCAAGATGAAAGCTCCCAGATTTTGGATATCCCCCGTTCACAAGCTATAGCAGAGATCCTTCTCGGGACCGTATCTGCTTTGTGTTCCCGAAGATAAGGTGGAACCACTGTTGTACGAGGTTTTATGAGAGAATATGTGGGAGCCACACGGGAGGAAGATCCTTCGCACACTGGGTGATGTCTCAAGGGTATTGGTCGTGCATGTTGAAAGATGCCAAGCAGTATATTCAGAAATATGACAAGTGCCAAAAGTTTGCTCCGATCATCTGACAACTGGCAGGGAATGTAAACCATTTGACAAGTCCTTGACCATCTTCTCAGTGAGGCATAGATATAGTAGGGCCTCTATTGAGGACTCTGTTGGGCAAGCAATTTCTTTTAGTCGTCACTTGCTACTTCACCAAGTGGATTGAGGTCGAGCCCTTAAGTCGTATTCGGGATGCGAAAACGAAGAAAATTCGTCTGGCAGAATATATCACTCGGTTCGGCATCCCCCGAGCCATCGTCTCCGATAACGGCACCCAGTTCAACAGCAGGCCATTCAAGAAATTTAGGTCAGGATTTGGAATACGCAACTAGTATTCCACCCTGGTGTACCCTCAATGTAATAGGTAGGCAGAAGTTTTCAATAAGACGATGTTGGCTGAGATAAAGAAGAGGTTAGAAAGAGCCAAGGGCAGATGGATCGAGAAACTGCTCAATGTCCTTTGGGCGTACAGAACCATCCTGAGGACCTCTACAAGAGAAATCTCTTATGCCTTGACATACAACATTGAGGCTATTATACCTTTGGAGGTAGGATTCCCCATTATACAAAGTTAAGCCTTCGAGTCTGGAAACAACGATGGAGCACTAACCAGGGACCTCGATTTGATTGAGGAAAGAAGGGAATTAGCATCTATATAGTTGGCCAAATATCAAGGGAAATTATTGAAACAACATCAAAAGAAAGTCTGAACAAAAAGTTTTCAAGTGGGAGACTTGGTATTGTGCAAAGTTGTGGGCAACACGCGAGAGTCCACTGATGGGAAAAATTAGGAAGGTCCGTATAAAATCATGGCCATAGGAGGCACAAGGGCATATTGGCTACAAGATATGAATGATAAAGATGTAAATCGACCTTGAAATGTATCAAATTTGAAAAAATATTACTACTAAGTTGATTTCAAGAGCCAACTCAGACGAATTAACACGAGCCCCACACTCGGTTGTTAGGAGTATGGCCCCAGGAGAGATAAGCCTCCATCCTTAGAGCATCGCCCTTGAAGAGAATTAAAACGAGCCCCGTGCTTAGTCGTTAGGGGTACGACCCCGAGAGGGTAAGCCTTTATCCATAGAGCACTGCCCTCAAAGAGAATTAACAAGAGCCCCTGTGCTCGATCGTTAGGGGTACGACCTCGATAGGGGTACGGCTCCAAGACGGGTAAGCCTCCATCCTTGGAGGACCTCCCACGAAGAGAATTAACATGAGACCTGCGCTCGATTGCTAGGGGTACGAACCTGAGATGGGTAAGCCTCCATGGAGCACTACCCTCGAAAAGGGATAAACAAGACATTGCAAAAGAAAGAAAGGAAATTGCATTGATCAAATGGGGGTCGTGCATCCCCCAAGCATACAAAAAAGAAGTGCACAAGTATAGAAAATTCTACAGGTCCTTAGGATCAGTAGGTTCACCAAGGTCACCTCTGAACTCCTCACCGACGAGCCTTACCCAATGCCGCATCAAAGATCCTTCGCCTACACCAAGGATTTCATCCAACTCCCTAGAGTCGGCACCATCTAGGTTGATGACGAGGGTACCAGGGATAGTTGGATCCCCTTGGTGCATCGAAAGAGTGGGGGAAGGGAGCCAAAGAGGAGACATTTCCTCTGATTCATCACTAACAGTTATCGGCACTATCCTTGCCACAGTCTCCCCTTCTTGTTTCGTCAGGTCCCTCTGTGGGAGCCACCTCAACACTTGGAACGTCTTATGTTGGGGCCTCGAACTCGGTGACTTGCTGTTATGGCTGGTAGACAAGCAAGGCGTACAACTTGGATTCGACAGCAACCCCAGAAGCCTCAAGCGGCTCGTCACATCTTTCAATTTCACTTTTATCTTTTTTTGTTTCCTCTAGTGGAAGGGTTGTGACCTTGATCACCTAGTGTTTTTTGTAGATAGGTCATCTTGTGTCTGGCCTGAATTCATCTTGAGTATTACTTGTCTCTTCATACTCATAGCGTCAATTGTCTTCCTCTTCTAAATATGTACATCAACCACCATTGCTTTACTGCCATGAACAATTCAGAGCGAACTTTGTTTGAGGGTACCCATTTCCTTGTATTCAAGACTGAAAATGCCAAGAATGATGGAGATCACCTCCTTATCAATCAAAGTTATGGGGGCTAAGCCAGTCAGGTGCTCTCCTAATGAGAAGGCTTTGAATGAAATTAGATGATACTACCAAATTCCTGATTCTATTCGTCTTCGACTTCCCTCCCCATATGAAATAGTTGATTCGTTTGGTCCTAACAAAGTTTGGTTTTATGAGTCAATCTTTAAAGCTGGACTTCACTTCCTCACGCCTTAGTAATTTAGGGAAGCCTCCATTTCTTAAATCTTGCCCTCTCAAAATTGACTTCAAATAGTTGGGAGTTTCAAATCAACATCTTCGTTCTTTGGGCAAGAGCCAATGGCATCAATGCTCGCCCTACAATCAACAAGCTCTTCCACTATTATAAACTCACACCTGTGCATGACAGAGTCATGGGTGGTTTTATTTTTCCAAGAGAGAGAAGATCAATCTCTTGATGAGCTATTCTTCTAATGTTAAGGAGTGAAAAGACAAATTCTTTTTTGTTTCTAGGCCTGGTTGGGGGTTTGGGCCTTCAGAGACCCTCTCCAGGTCCCTCGTCTATGGAGATGCCATCCTCATTCTCTTTGAAAGTAGTAGTTTTCTGTTTATTTTCCCATTCGGTTGTTTTTGCTAATACATTTTGTTTGGTGTAGGTGTTGTGATCGTGGAGCAATTATGGTGAGTAATAAGGAATCAATCAATTTAGAAAATAAGAGAAAATAAGACAGAGATTTACGTGATTCGGCAATGTGCCTACATCCACAGGAGCGAGTGGCCGTTCTTTTCCATTATTCAAAGTAGGGGTACATCTTAAGTATTTATATAACCCTAGTATGGACGTATTTACAAAATACCTCTGCTCCGGCATCTGCCTCTTTGCCATTGTACACACAGCAAATATGAGTCACACATACTCTAACAATCTCCACCTTGACAAATATTCACTCCTTAGGAGAAAAAAAGAGAACATGTATCCAGGAACTCCATATGGGACGCAAAGTTGAGGCATCTTCCATCTAGCAACTGGAGACATAAATCAAGTCCAAGCAGTGCTTGAACTTGTCTGTAGTAACAGGCTTTGTCAACATGTCTGCTGCATTCTCAGAAGTGTGAACTTTCTCAAGTAATAGTTCACTAGAAGAAACCAGCTCCTTGATCATATGAAACCTCACATCTATGTGCTTGGTCCTCGCATGATACACTTGGTTCTTTGCTAAATAAATGGCACTCTGACTGTCACAATGCAATTAAACTCCACATTGCTGAGCACCCAACTCCTTGACTAGACCTGTAAGCCACAAAGCCTCCTTGGAAGCCTCAGCTACTGCCATATACTTTGACTCAGTAGTAGATATTGCAACTATGGGCTGTACCATGAACTTCCAACAAATAGGTCCTTCCACAAGAGTAAACACATAACCTGTAATAGACCTCCTGTCATCTAAGTCCCCTGCATAGTCTGCATCCACATATCCCACAACTGAAAGGTCACTCTATTGTCTACTAAACACGATGCCATAGTCTGTAGTGCCACTCAAGTATCTGAAAATCCACTTGACTGCATCCCAATGCTGCCGACCCAGATTTGAAAGAAACTTGCTAACCACGCTGATAGCTTGTGCCAAATCTGGTATTGTACAAACCATAGCATACATCAAACACCCCACTACACTAGCATATGAGACATTTGACATGTCATGAACTTCATCATCTGTCTTCGGTCACTGAGCGGTAGACAATCTGAAATGATTTGCCAAAGGTGTACTTACTGGTTTTGCATAACTTATGCTGAACCTGTCTAACACCTTCTCAACATAGCTATGCTGAGATAGCCATAATCTCCTGGAAGCTTTGTCCTTGCGAATCTCCATCCCAAGAATCTTCTTGGCTGCACCCAAATCCTTCATGTCAAATTCTCTGCTCAACAAAGTCTTCAACTTGTTGACCTCACTCATACTCTTGGTAGCAATCAACATATCATCCACATAAAGTAACAAAAAAATAAATGAATCATCATCAAGGCTTTTCACATAGACACGACAATCATACTCACACCTTTTGTAGCCAATTCGGATCATGTAAGAGTCAAATCGCTTGTACCACTGCCTCGGAAACTGCTTCAGCCCATAAAGTGATTTCTTCAAATTACAGACCAAATGTTTCTCTCTAGGGAGACTGAACCCTTCTGGCTGTACCATGTAAATCTATTCCTCCAAGTCGCCATGAAGGAAAGCTGTCTTTACATCCATCTGCTCCAATTGCAAATCTAAATGTGCTACTAATGCCAACACTGTCCTAATGGAAGTATGTCTTACCATAGGGGAGAAGATCTCATCATAGTCAACCCCTTTTCTCTGTGAGTAACCCTTTGCTACTAGATGAGCCTTGAATTTTTTTCCCTCTTTTTCTGATACTGCTATTTTCTTCTTATACACCCATTTGCACCCTATCGCTCTCTTTCCCTCGGGAAGCTCCACCAACTCCCACGTCTCGTTCTTATGCAGAGACTCCATCTCCTCCACCATAGCACCCATCCATCTATTTTTCTCTTGGCTTTGTACTGCCTCCTGAAAAGTTGTAGGATCTCCGCTACTAGTAATAAACGCATAAGAAACCAAATCTTCAAAACCATACCTGGTAGGCGACTTGATATTGCATTTGGGCCTATTTGTGGCTATACTGTGATGTTGTTGATCACCTGAGATAGAACTCTCTACATCCTGAGCATCCTCTTCTCTAGCATGGTTCTCTAGCTCCACTTGCACCACATGCTCATTAGTGCTACAGTTTTTTGGCACTTGTTTCTCTTCTTCCTGAGTATGCTGCAACATGGCTTTTTCATCAAAAATCACATCTCTACTGACCACCATCTTGTTTGCCTTCGGATCCCAGAGCTTGAAGCCTTTCACCCCTTTTTCATATCCCAGAAAGATACATTGTCTAGACTTCGCATCAAGCTTCGACCTCTCCTCACTAGAAACATGTACATAGGCTGGACATCCGAACACTCTCAAACCAAAGTAGTTTACCTCACTGCCTGTCCACACCTCTTCTGATACTTTCCCATCTAGTGCTGCCCTCGGTGATCTGTTAATCTAGAAACATCTCATATTCACTGCCTCTGCCCAGAAATTCTTTACAAGCCCTGCATTCAACCTGAGACATCAAGCTTTTTTAGCTATCATTCTGTTCATCCTTTCCGCTACACCATTTTTTTGTGGTGTCTTGCGGACTGTGAAGTGTCTCTTGATCCCATGCTACTCACACAACTCTTGGAACTTTGAATCTGTGTACTCAGTACCATTATCTGACCTGAGGCATTTAATCTCTCTCCCTGTCTAGTTCTCTACTTCAGCTTTTCACAACTTGAACTTGACAAACGCTTCGGACTTGTGTCGCATGAAGTACGACCAGAACTTTAGCGAGTAGTCATCAATGAAACTCACGAAATACATGTATCCTCCCCGTGATATTACACTGACTGGTCGCCAAACATCTGTATGGACATAGTCGAGAATTCCCTCTGTCTTGTGTGTGGCTGTCTTGAACTGCACCCTGTTCTAGTTTCCAAGAACACAATATTTGCAAAAATTGAGCTTGCATGTCTTGACAGCCTTCAATAGATTTTTCTTATGAAGCTCTATCATCCCACGCTCACTCGTATGACCCAGCCGCATATGCCACAAGACTATACTATCTGATTCAGACTCTACAACAGCAACTCCACCTACAATCGTGGTACCCAGCAGTCTGTAAATGTTTCCTGCTTCTTTCTGTCCCTTCATCACTGTCAGTATGCCTTTACTCACTTTCATTACTCCACTTATAGATTTGTAACTATAACCATTACAATCTAAAGTGCCCAATGAAATTAGATTTTTCCTTAGATCCGGTACATGTCTAACATCACACAACGTTCTAACCACACCATCAAACACTTTAATTCTAATATTCCCTATTCCAACAACTTTGCAGGATGCATCATTACCCATCAGAACAGAACTAGAATTTACTAACCTATAGGTGTCAAACCAATCTTTGTTGGGTGTCATGTGATAGGAACATGCTGAATCCATAATCCAGGAATCTATTAGACGATCTGAATCGGATGAAACAGAAAGCATATCACCGTCACTGCTCTATGAATCTTCTTCTTCCACTACGTTTGCAGACTTTGATGGACCTTCTTTGTCCTCTAAATTCCCTTTCTTTTTCTTTGGACAGTCCCGTTTAAAGTGCCCCTTTTTCCCGCCTTGTAACACGAGACGGAGACGTCCTTCTTCTTCTTCCTCAACTTGGACCGGGCTTTATTGTTACCCGATCCATTCCGAGATTTGCTTCTTCCATGTTCCTGGTTACCTTTCACCACAAGCCCTTCACCTTGTGAAGCCTCATCACTGGCTTTTTTTCGCTGATGAAAATCTAACAGAGCACCTATGACATCCTCCAACTCGAGGGTTTCTTTCCCCTACATCAAAGTCGTAATCAAATTCTCGTACGTAGGAGACGCCAGTAGGGAATTCAGCAACATCAACGCCTTGTCTTCGTCTTCGAACTTCACATCAACTTGCTTCAGATCGCTGATGATCTGATTGAACAAGTTGATGTGTTGGCTTAGATCCGAGCCCTTTGACATCTTAAGACCATATAGTTTCTGCTTAAGATAGAGATTGTTCATCAACAACTTGGATATATAGTGACTTTTTAGTTTCAACCAAACTTCCGCCGGTGATTCCTCATCCA